CGTGTCCGCCTGCCCGCCTCCCGATGCCCAGCTTAGCAACAGCCATGGGCACGCGTGTGTCCTGTGACTGCAGAGCTGCACCGCGGCTGCCGGGAAGCCAGAGGGGCCTGGTGGTGGGTGGGAAACTGAGGCCGGCAGTGACGGCCTTTGCCCAAGGTCACACACAGAAGGATGCTGGGACCAGAAGGCCAGCAAGCTGCAGCCAAGCCCGGCCTCTGAGGAGCCGCAAGCACTGAGCCAGGGGCAAGGAGCTGAGCCCGGAGGGCGGGAGTGGACAGGGGCTGCTGGCCCAGCTCTGCCCTCCCTCCCACCCCGTCGGCCGGGCTTCCGGTGCCAACCTGGAGCCCTTATCTCCACCTGTCCCCCTCAGTCCTTGCAGTGGACACCCCACCAGCAGAGGATTGCCACCCACCCACCCTCCTCCCCCAGACCTTTGCATTTGCAGGCGAGCATCTGGCCACAGAGGTCAGGGACTCTTGCCTTTGGACGAGCCCCCAGGCCTGAACTGCAGCCTTTGCACACATGCACATGCCCTCGCCGTTCCTTCCCATGCCGCCTGGCACACGAGGAACTGCGGCACGTGCATGGCCCCCACACCCGAGAGGTCACCCAGCACCCTGTGGCATAGCCTCCTCAGGCTGGGAAGCAGGGCTGCCCCTCCTCTAACTGCTCCTGACTGCTCTGAGTCAGCGGCCACCCGGCACTGATTCACCCAGTGGGAAGTTAGGACCAGGCTCTGCAGGGCTTCTGGGATGTGCACTGGCCAGCTGAACTGGGGGCGGGGAGGGGGCTGAGTCAGTTCCCCCACTGGCTGGGGGGACTCCCAGCACCAGTGGTCTTCAGGGTTACTCTCCTCCGCCCCCACCAGGTGTGTTTCTTATTCCCTACGTCCTGATCGCCCTGGTCGGAGGAATCCCCATTTTCTTCTTGGAGATCTCGCTGGGCCAGTTCATGAAGGCCGGCAGCATCAACGTCTGGAACATCTGTCCCCTATTCAAAGGTGAGCAGCCCTGGCTGGTCCCCTCCCACTCGAGGGCCTGTGTCCTGGCCTAAGCTCCAGGCCTGAGGCTGCCTGATGCCTCCTTTGTCCCTCCATTCCCCTGGAGGGGGAGCCTCAAGGACACACACAGAACGCAGCCCAGACGTGGGAAGGCAGAAACTAAAGGGAGATTGGGTCTCTCTGCAAGGACACAGGCAGACCAGGCACAGCTGGGCTGGGGAAGGGACCTGCCGAACGCACGTGGCCTGCTAGGTAGGTCCTGCTGTTACTGTCCCCGAGGAAACTGAGCCACAGAGGTGAAGTGACTCACAGAGGTTGCACACTGAGGGGGTGACTGTCTCCCACACTGTCTCAGGTTACTAAGAAGCTCCCCAGCTGCCGTCTCCTGGAGGCCACTGGGGGGCTAGGTGGAGGCTTGGGCCTCCTGGAAGCCCCGTGGTGGCAGTAGGACCTGAGAGAAGGAGCCATGTGTGTGAGGCTGGAGGCCAAACAGGACTGGAGGAGGGGATTCGGAGGAGCGGAGGGTCTCTGCTAGGCATCCGGGATGGCTGGAGACGCTGGAGCATGGAGGGTGGGTGAGGGGCAGGAATAGGTCACTGGTGAGAGACTGTGGGGTCAGCCCAAGGTTGGGAGGCCGATAGGATGGATGGGGGTCTGCAGAGTCCACATGGAGGCCCTTCTCCCCAGGCCTGGGCTACGCCTCCATGGTGATCGTCTTCTACTGCAACACCTACTACATCATGGTGCTGGCCTGGGGCTTCTATTACCTGGTTAAGTCCTTCACCACCACCCTGCCCTGGGCCACATGTGGCCACGCCTGGAACACTCCCGACTGTGTGGAGATCTTCCGCCACGAAGACTGTGCCAATGCCAGCCTGGCCAACCTCACCTGCGACCAGCTCGCCGACCGCCGGTCTCCTGTCCTGGAGTTCTGGGAGTGAGTCAGGCACCTCTGGGCCGAGCTCAACCTGCCCTCTGCTCTCCCGTGTGTAGCCTAGACCTGGAGCCACGAGGCCAGAGAGGCAGAGCGGTCCCTCCTGGGCCCTGTGTGTCCTGAGTGCACAGGCCAGTCCCTGGGGTGGGGGTGGGTCCTGGCTTCTCATTCCATCCTGCCTGCCTGCTGGGGGAGCTGGGGCTGCATGTGTGAGGGGGGAAGGGAGTCCTGGGGGGATGGGGAACAGGCTGGCAGACCGACACCTCCACTAGCCGGAGGCTTCCAGGTTCCTCAGTGGAGCAGTGTCTTCCAGAGGGACCAGCTGGACCAAGGACTGCTGCTGCCCCTCAGGGGCAAGCCCTAGTCACTTTGCCCTCTGCTGGCTGGCATGGCCCTCACATGCTCGCCTTCCCCTAGGAACAAGGTCCTGCGGCTTTCTCGGGGGCTGGAGGTGCCAGGGGCCCTCAACTGGGAGGTGACCCTTTGTCTGCTGGCCTGCTGGGTGCTGGTCTACTTCTGCGTTTGGAAGGGGGTCAAGTCCACAGGAAAGGTACAGCTGCAGGCAGGCAGGGGTTGGGGTGGCATTGCCTGGGAGGTGCGTGTCTGCAGGGGAAGCAATTGCCACAAGAGCTGGCCGCACCAGGGCTAGGGCCGGAGGGAGAGGACCCAGATCCAGCCCCCCAGCCCCACCCCACTGCTGCACGTTCCTCCCCACGTCCAGATCCAGGGGCAGCAGCCTGGGCTC